GAATAAAAGTCTCTCTCGATTAAAGGGCCGTTTGGTTCCAGCAATGATTAGTTTTGCCTTTGCACTTCAGCAATGATTAATTTAGCAATTGAATAAAATACCGTGCCGATATTTAAACCGTTTGATTTCAGCAATGATTAGTTTCGCCTTTGCACTTCAGCAATGATTAATTTAACAATTGAATAAAATACCATTTCGATAATTAAACTGTTTGATTTCAGAAATGATTAGTTTTACAGTTATACAAAATGCCATCTTGATTTGTGAGTTTTTTTCTTATTCTTTTTTGCAGCAATGATTAATTTAGCAGTAGAATAAAAGTCTCCCTCGATTAAAGAGCCGTTTGGTTCCAGCAATGATTAGTTTTGCCTTTGCACTTCAGCAATGATTAATTTTGTAATTGAATAAAATACCATGTCGATAATCAAAATGTTTGATTTCAGCAATGATTAGTTTCGCCTTCGCCCTTTAGCAATGATTAATTTAGCAACGAAACGGCTCTTTAACCGAAAGAGATTTTTAAGTTTCATTTCAGCAATGATTAGATTTGCGATTGCCTTCACATCAATGGATTAAATTGCGCTATATCCGTATCTTAGTTTATATCATAGATTAGAAAGAACTTCTGGAATAAATGTAAAAAAGTTTTTGAGATAAATACGCTCTTGTCTTTCTTTTCTTTTTTAAAAAAATCTCAAATCTATAAATATATCTTAATCATTGAAGGAGGTTAAACATATCAAAATCCGATTACAGTTTGAATAATTCATTTACTTTAAACTCTTATTCTAAAGGTAAGGCGAGTATAAATGTCAGCACCACATTTCGGATGGTGTCACAACTGTACTATTTCCGTCTCCATTAGTGACAGTTGACGTCTCTTTCTGGGGAAGTGAAGCGTAAGAACATTCGAATCTCCCGAATATTCGCTCACTTGTTTCGAACAAAATTAGTATTTAGCAAAGAATGCGTATCTAAAAATGTACTGTAAAAAAATAAATAAATAAAAACTTCTTAAAGCGCATTGAAAATGCTTTTTAACATAAAAAGATAATAGTCTAAAATAGTTTCTGATGGATTCTTGTCGGTGGATTCGCCCTGGTTAGAAAAATCATCTGTTAAAGTCCTTAATTAGCAAAACGATACAAATATCTTTAATTGTAATCAGCATAAAATCAATAAAAGTTTTTGAAAGTAATTATAAACTACTTCATTATTTAACGGTGTTTACCTTCAATATTTATTTATCATCCCTTCGTAACATTATTCTTTACTATTATTACGTCTTCGTTTGCTATTATTATTCAAAGTTATTAGTCTAAAACTAAAAAGTGGAATTTCTTTATTATAATTCGCGATAAATCTATAATATCACCTTCTTAAGCAACATTGTACGACAAAAAAATTTTGTTGCCGTTTTACAACTATTAACAGGAAACAACAAATATTTAAATGTAAATATTAAACAGTAAATATGTTATAGTTGCTTTTAATAATATATTTTATGTAAAACTGTGCTAAATTAATATAAATTAAAATTATGAATACAAAATGACTATTTTGAATTATAAAACGATGCTGGTAATCAACTTTCCTACACTCAAACTCAATATCTATTTTTCGGAACAAGTTTAACGGAAATATATATTAATATAGTAACCGAAAATTAACCCTTTGCTTGCGGTGTTCCATGTTGCATCATCACATGTGGTCCACATGTTGTACCAGCCGTAAGCTAAAAGTTAAATACGAATTCAGAAAGTAGGTTTGGGGATGATATGGCAATGATAACGGATCAAAAAGTTTAATTTTTAAAATTATTTCAATAGAACTCATAATGCGAATAAATTCCTAATTTATACAAACATAATGCGAATAAATTCATAATTTATATAATCATAATGCGAATAAATTCATTATAAATTCATCATTCATAATAACTCATAGTTTCAATAGAACTCATAATGGAAACTCATAATGCGAAACCAAATCTGTGCTAATACAATACAATAAAAAAATTCAGGATGTTCCGCTGAAGAATTTTTAAATTTGATGAGATTTAATTTTGATGATTTTCTTTGAAAGCCTCCGGTTTAAGCATTTAAGTAGCATGTACCGCCGTCACCAGGGGAAAAAAGATCATGTAATTTTAAAATTGTTCTTCATACATATTAGAAAATGATTTTTACTTATCAGTTGCCGTGTTTGTATAAATTAATCTAAGACGCGTACTTGCTCTAAAGTATCTGTACCATCATTATATAAGTAGCTTCTAGTATTAAACTCTTTTTAAATATTTTAATGAAAAGTAAAAAAAAAAAAAAAAATAGAAATCAGACACTGAATTTCATTGACAAATAGAACTATTCTGTGATTTCATTGTATTTTAATAGTAGTTGTGAATTGTAGTGATTCATCCTTCCAGTACATGTTAAGAGGTAGCGCTAATAGCGCATGTAATAACGTCTACCTTGTAACCACTACTATAACTTCCACTTCTCATCAGCTGTTGTTCTGTACAGTTCTGATCGAGATGTCTACAAAAACGGTCTTCCGTTCTAAGTATCTCAGTATTTTTTGTAACCTGTTATGTTTGAATTAATTATTGAAAGTTATTTTATAATCGATTGGTTATGATGCTATGTTTGAATTAATTATTAAAAGTTATTTTATAATCCATTGGTTATGATGTTCAAACGAACACGCATTTATATACCTTCACCTCACAATAATCAGTAAAATTATCTTTTTTTTTCTTTTTTTTTTACTTTAATCAGTCTGTCATTTTGTGTTACGTAGGTCATAATGAAAACAATATTTAACAAGGAAAATAAAAATTATACATTCAGGGCAGTACTTTGAGAATAGTAAATGCTTGAAATGTTACCTTCAGTGTTATGACTTCACTGTGATCTAAGACGACGTCAGGTTGTTTTTCTAGACAGCATACGTAGAACATTGTATCGTACCTCCTGTGTCCCACAGATGTGGGAGTCAACCAGTCCCACCACTCGTGGAGGGACCATATATCCGGACAAACATTCGCTTCCAGACAGAAGTCAGTAAATGCAATGGGATCCTTCCTAATTTTCTCCTGCCAAGCTACAAGGTCTATATCCTCGTACCAATGCAGCGAGGAGATTTTCGAATGTTTTGGACGTGTCATCAGCAACACACCCGTCTCCTCAAAAGTCTCGCGGATGGCCGCTATTCGCAGTGCCACGTCAGATGGCAATGGATCTTGCTCAGGTTTCACATTCGCCGTGGTCAATGTCAGTGACTCCGTGATCATGCATGGCCGAGGACCGTTCACTTTCTCACTGAACTCTCGTATGGAGTCCCTACTAACACCATGTGCCTGAAATACGTCGTACCATTTGGGCGAGTAGTCACTTATTTCGGCCATTCCACCTGGAAAAACGTAGGCGTTGGCCATAAAAGAACTGAGGCTGCTGCGTTTGACCATTAGAAGGCGGTAGTCACAGTGGTTCTTGCTGACTGCTTGGCGATTGGATGAGCGAGCTCTGTGCATCATGTTGGCTAAGTTATTACCAACGAGTTCTTGCAGAGAAGCTCTCACCACTATAATGACACTGGCAGCTTCTCTCCAAGGTGGTATGTTATCCATTTCTGGAAAGAGACATGAAATGTATATTAATTCGTAAATAATCTCACCAATATTAATAATAAATATAATATGAAAATATAGTTTTCCACGGTGACTAAAAATATCTCAGGCATAATTTAAAACCAAATATTTCATCTCAACTCATTTTGGAAGATGTCCTTGATCATAAACGTACTTTGAAAATCCGAAATGAACCTTCCAACACAGCAAAAAGCACTCATTGACAGACTTTCTCGCGACATAAGAATTTTTATTTTATTTCTTATTCGCCTTATTTGAATCCAATGAATCTTTCCGTTTAGCTCATCTTAGAAACAAAGGTTTGAGCTGAACCTAATAAAACTTCAGCATCTTTAATAAATTCCTTTCTCTAAAAATTTCAGTGGGTGAGTTGCAACCAATATCAGAAAATTTTGTGACACATCTACAGTTTATCATTAAAGCCAAAAGTAATCTCTTTGAAAATTTGTAACTACGTAAAAGTTAGTAATATCCTCATGCTTATATGAAGGATTGGTATCCAATTTACTTTATGTAACCCTAAAAAAGTGCAAAAATTTTATTATCTTCTCTAGATTATACGAAAAAGAGTTAGTGCGATTATTTAAATTGCAGTACAGAGTGTGTGCCGTTGATATTCCATTAACAGATAACTAAGATTTCTAACCTCGATAAAAGTTTCAATAATTGTTTTGAAAAAAATAATAAATATCACATGTTAAAAGAAAACGAGGGTTTCAATGACTTTCTACCTATACGAGCCTGCATATTGCTGTAATAAACAATATTGTCATGCTTAAAATATTAATTTTGTAGAAGTATTATCCGGATACAACTTCTCGACTAGCTAGTACGATCAAATTTTATTTGAGCTGGCTTATTTACACGCGATAAATTCTACTACAAGCAGAATTTATTGCGATATTACAACAGTCGAAATTTGAACCATTTTTCGAAGTAAACGAACTAACAGACACAAAGTAATACAGAAAACAATAGACAAAAATTAGTATGAAAATAATTTTTTATTTTAATACGACAACTAAAAGGAAATAATAAACTTCCTTCATAATAAACTTCTACGAGTACCCAAAATTATCTCACACGTCCTTTGAAAGTGATGTGCCCTACGTTTTACCGTTAAGATGCAACAAAAATAATTTTTCTTCTTTAATCTGCTTAAGAAACGAAGCTTCTGAAATTTTTATCTTAGAGCTTTTATATCTACTTCCTTGAGTTTTTTCAACAATGCGTACTATATTAGCTATATTTATATTCTTATTAACATTTCTATGATTATTATTATGATTTTATGAGCTGCAGAGAGTACAAAAAGTAATTGACGAGTCAATCCAATGCATGTTTAGCAACAAAGTATCTAATCAGTATAGTACAGTTAGAACTAAACAACTCGGTCTTGTATAAAGAACTAAGCATTCACAAAAATTTTTACGTTCGTAATTTTTGTTAATAAAAATTTAACAAAAACAAGTAATGTTTGAAAACTTACCTTTTTCCTTAAAAAAAATCAAGTTAAAAAAAAAAATTTAAAAGAAATCACAAAATATTCCGAAAAAGGGATGGGATGCTATGTCATCTTAATCCAAAGAAACCTCGTCATCTAAAATCTAAGCATCCACGGTCACTGAGTCCCGTGTGCATTTTTCAACCCGCGGGCTTTCCCTAATACCTGACGTCATTTTAAGGATACCTGTTTCGTTTTTCCTCTTTAGTTTGCGGTTTTCACTACCTCGTGTGACCCCCATTCCTCGAGACACTCTTCTCTAATGTCCCGATTCTCATANTTTGAAAACCAGAAATGAACCTTCCAACAGAGCTGAAAGGTTTTGAAAACCAGAAATGAACCTTCCAACAGAGCTGAAAAGTTTTGAAAACCAGAATTGAACCTTCCAACAGAGCTGAAAGGTTTTGAAAACCAGAAATGAACCTTCCAACAGAGCTGAAAGGCTTTGAAAACCAGAAATGAACCTTCCAACAGAGCTGAAAGGTTTTGAAAACCAGAAAAGAACCTTGGTCCATCGGACTTTCTTAAGACATAAGAATAGTTATTTTATTTCCCATCAATATTAATAATAAACATAATATTAAAATATAATTCTCCAGGGTGACTAAATATTTTATACTTGGGCAAACTTTAAAACCAAATATTCTTATCGCAACTTATTTTAGAAAATGTTATACTTCCTTGATACCCAAGTTAAAATTTTTGATGATTATCCAACATACCAACATAATTTTGATGGTAACCCGCATAAGTAGCCATCACCTCAATGTAGGAATTCGGACTGATTTATGATGGTCCAACATAAGAATAGCAACTTGTTTTGACGGTTTGTTCATGTTGAACCATCACGAATTTCCATCATAGTATCTTAGATATCAAATATTGGAACGATCATGAACAACCATCATCCCAATGTAGGAATTTGGACTGATTTATGATGATCCAACATAAACAACCCAAATTGTTCTGGTGGTATATTCCTGAGAACCAAAAAGAATTCCCATTAAACCATCATGGAACTGTACAGTTGGAACCATCACGGATTGTTGGTGCATGGGAGTCAAACTTCTTTTGATGGTTAAAAATCATAGTATTAAAGTAGCATTTGTTGGCATATCAAAAACCGTGAACACGTGATGGAAAATGTTGGATGATGGTGACCATCATGAATCGCACTAAAACCATACTTTAACCATCAAAATTTTTTGATGGGACCACTAAGACTTTTGACTTGGGTAACAAAAGTTCTTTGAAAACCAGAAATGAACCTTCCAACAGAGCTAAAAGAACTCATTGATAGACTTTCTTACGACAAAAGAATGGTTATTTTATTTCTTATTCGCCATATTTGAATTCAATGGAACTTTCCGTTTAGCTCATCTTAGAGACTAAGGTTTGCGCTAAAGCTAATAAAACTATAACATCTTTAATAAATTCCATCCTTTTAAATATTTCTGTGAGTTACAACCTATAGCAGAACATTTTGTGACACATCTATAGTTTATCATTAAAGCCAAAAGTAATCTCTCTGAAAATTTGTAACTGCGATAAAGTTAGTAATGTTTTCATATGAAGGATTGGTGTCCAATTTACTCTATGTAACCCTAAAAAAGTGCACAAATTTTATTACCTTCTCTAGATTATACGAAGAAGAGTTAGTGCGATTATTTAAACTGTAGTAGAGGTTGTGTGTGCCGTTGATATTCCACGTACAGATACCCAAGATTTCTTAACCTGATTTGAGTTTCAATAATTGTTTTGAAAAAAATAATAAATAACATATGCTACAAGAAACGAGAGTTTCAATGATTTTCTACCTATACGAACCAGCATATTGCTGTAATAAACTGTGGCGTAACTACCACTATGAATATTAAATACCGAATCACTAGTATATAAGACATGTTAACTCGATTCCATCACGAGGTACCTTTTGATAGATGATGGTTGACACAGTCTAAAATTAAGTCCCCACAAAACAAGATTGTTATGTTGAAAATATTTATTGTTTAGGTGAAGTGCGTATCAAGCATTATTCAGATGCAGCTTTCCGACTAGCTAGTACAATCAAATTTTATTTGAGTTCTGAGCTGGATGTCAACACAAGCTTATTTACTCGCGATAAATTCTACCGCAAGCAGAATTTATTACGATATTACCGACAAAAGAACAGCCAAAATTTGAACCATTTTTCGATATAAACAAACCAACAAACACAAAGTAATTCAGGAAACAATAAATAAAAATAAAGTTGAAAATAATTTTATTTTATTAACACCCAAAATAAAATAATAAACTTCCCTCGTAATAAACTTCTATGAGTGCCGAAAATCACCTCGAACGTTTTATAAAAGTGATGTGCCCTACGTTTTACCGTTAAGATGCGACAAAAGCGTTGAAACGTAGCTTCTGAAATTTTTATTTTAAGGTTTTTTGATCTAGTTCCTTAAATGGCTTCAACAATACGTATTGCATTAACTATAGTTATATTCTTATTAACATTTCCATGATTATTATAATAATTTTATGAGCTGTAGAAAGTACAAAAAGTAATTGACGAGTCAATCCAATGCATGTTTAGCAACAAAGTATCTAATCAGTATAGTACAGTTAGAGCTAAACAACTCGGTCTTGTATAAAGAACTAAGCATTCACAAAAATTTTTACGTTCGTAATTTTTGTTAATAAAAATTTAACAAAAACAAGTAATGTTTGAAAACTTACCTTTTTCCTTAAAAAAAATCAAGTTAAAAAAAAAAATTTAAAAGAAATCACAAAATATTCCGAAAAAGGGATGGGATGCTATGTCATCTTAATCCAAAGAAACCTCGTCATCTAAAATCTAAGCATCCACGGTCACTGAGTCCCGTGTGCATTTTTCAACCCGCGGGCTTTCCCTAATACCTGACGTCATTTTAAGGATACCTGTTTCGTTTTTCCTCTTTAGTTTGCGGTTTTCACTACCTCGTGTGACCCCCATTCCTCGAGACACTCTTCTCTAATGTCCCGATTCTCATCGGAACATTCTTCTTTAATAAGAAAACTTTCTTCTCCTTGTTTCGATAATATAGATGGCATATCTACTCTCCATGACAAATATATATTGTTTCGACAATGTCATTTCTACTCTCTATGATTTATATGCCAAATATATATTGTTTCGACAATGCCATTTCTACCCTCTATGATTTACGTGCCACAAATATATATTGTTCCGACAATTTCATTTCTATTCTCTATGACTTATATGCCAAATATATATTGTTCCGATAATGTCATTTCTACTCTCTATGATTTATGTGCCAAATATGTATTGTTTCGTCAATGTCATTTCTACTCTCTATGATTTACGTGCCACAAATGCATTACTTCGATAACCAGTGTCATACACGCCATTTGTAAAACACGATGATCTAGGGGTACAATTATTTTTTCGTGTGTGACTTCGCGTTTTTTTAAGCAGTGCGAGATGAGTGA